GGCCAAGGAGTGGCAGATAAAATTTAATTTAGAAAAATGTGAGGTGCTGCATTTTGGAAAGGCAAATCAAGGCAGGACTTATACATTTATTGGTAAGGTCCTGGTGGGTGTTGCTGAACAAAGAGACCTTGGAGTGCAGGTTGATATTTGCTTGAAACTGGAGGCAGATAGACAGGATAGTGAAGAAGGCATTTGGTATGCTTGCCTTTATTGGTCAGCGCATTGAGTATAGGTGTTGGGAGGTCATGTTGCAGCTGTACAGGACATTGGTTAGGGCACTTTTGGAATACTGGTCTCCTTCCTATAGGGAAATGTTGTGAAACTTGAAAGGGTTCAGAAAAAATTTACAAGAATGTTGCCAGGGTTGGAGGGTTTGAGCGATAGGGAAAGGCTTAATAGACTGGGGTTATTTTCCTTGGAGCGTTTGAGGTCGAGGAGTCACCTTAGAGAGGTTTGCAAAACATGAGGGGCATGGATAGGATAAATAGGCAAGGTCTTTTTCCTGGGGTGGGGTAGTCCAAAACTAGAGAGCACAGATTTAAGGTGAGAGGGGAAAGATTTAAAATGGACCTAAGGGGCAACTTTTTCACGCAGAGGGTGGTGCATGTATGGAATGAACTGCCAGAGGAAGTGATGGAGGCTGGTATAATTGCAACATTTAAAAGGCATTTGGATGGGTATATGAATAGGAAGGGTTTAGAGGGATATGGGCCAAATGCTGGCAAATGGGACTAGATTTATTTAGGATATCTGATCGGCATGGATGAGTTGGACTGAAGGGTTTCTTGCCGTGCTGTACATCTCAATGGCTCTATGACTAATGACATGTTGCGGGCCTTCTGGATTTTGGCCCTTGAGTGTTTCAATTTTTTTATGATTATTCTAATTTGCCAACATTCTTAATTTTCAATCCCAGGATTTTTTTAAATTAAAAAAAAAGCGGAAATACTCATTCCGTATCTTTGCTTGAGATAACTTCCCAGTATGATATACAATAAATGTTGGTCTAAACTTTTATAGCTAGAAATTGAATTTGGCCAGTCAGCACTTTTTTACTAAAAAGTTATTGCATGTATTTGAACTATATAGCAAACAACTAATTGCTTACTATATTTGTAACGTCAATTTTTTTGTAATACCACTAAGACAACAATGCATACCAATTTCTTTTTAAATGGTAGTGTACAAGATGTTTAATATCTGATTGCATAATGCACATTAACACAGTAGATCAAGAATACCATTTTTAGCAAAATGCCAAAATTACTGTTTTAGACCTGTGAACCCTTACATCTTTCTCTGTCTAATTCCAGCATGGTACAAGTGTCCTAGAAATGGCCAAATCCTTTAGCACAGAGGTATTTTACATTTTATTGATCACTTTTATTGATCCAGAAATTGATTAGTATCTTATTGACAGAACAATTATTTTAGATTTTTATCTAATGATGAACTGTTTATATTCTGTTCTACAGAATGTGATCAGTCTGCTTGAAGAGTATGGAAGACGAGAATTTACAAGATGAAGGAAGACTCTGGAAATACTCAGGAGACACTTGGGAGATTGTGAAGGTCAAAGGCAAAACTCATTCCACAAAATGCTGGAAATACTCAACAGTTAGGGAGCATCTGTGGAAACAGAGTTAACATTTCATCCTGAAACATTATCTCTATTTCTGTCAACAGATGCTGCCTATTTGCCTGAGTAATTTTTTCAGGTTTCCAGCATCTGCAATATTTTACTTCTGAATGAGTACTTCAGCCTAATCACTTTTTTACTCACTGACTAAATTCTGCTTTTCAAACTTGAAATCTTACTGGCAAAAATGATTATTATTGAAATGTCTGATTATTTTTCATAATCCCCTGTATTTTTTAGTGAGGACGCAAAGCCCTTTATTTTCCTACTGTTCTGACTGGGCTGCAAAATAGTTGTCTGTGATCATTTGATGGGAGTGCCATGTTTCTGTCTGTGTCATTCTGAATCAGGCTGGTATGAGGTTTGTAATGTGGTTTGGAATATGTGTACTTCCAAACAAGCCTTCAACTAGTGCTCCAACATTGATCAACAGTGCTTTTAAGCATATTTGCCAAGGCACTTCTCACAGTTGAGATGTATTACAAAGATATTTATGAGGCTCGTGTTTATACAATTAAGGATGGTTTTGGGTTTAAGTAGGAAGTAGAAAATACGATTAGAGAAAATTTTATTTAATAAAGTGCAGAGCAGATCATTGGCTGACAGACAAGTGGACATAAATGAAAACACAATTTCAAACAGATTATGGTCTTTTATATTGGATAGATTTGGTGACAGCATAACAGTTTTTTTATGATACATATGTGTGGACTAGGGCTCTTCTCTTTGTTTTACAACATTGACTAATCTGATGTGCACTTTCAACATATTTTGATTTTATTTCAGACTTGCAGCACTCGTAGCTTGCTTTTTATTTCTACTTTTCAGTCAATTCTGTAAAAAATTTACAAAGATCTAAGGATCTTATTTCAGAATTCAGTCCACAGAAAACTTAAAGGAGTTGAGTATTTTTTTCCATTTATGGATCAATATACTGAACGTAAAGGGCTGAGTTTCATTTGCGTTAAGATTTGTTCGATTGAGACTTGAAAGGCCCACACCTTCCTGATGTTCAAATGTCTTTAGTTATCTGCCCAAAGGTTGGTCTGACCCACAATACAGGTATCTCCACCACAAGTGGGTGTGTGTGAGTGTGTGTGTGTGCGGGTGAGTGTGGTGTGTGCGGTTGAGTGTGTGGGTGAGTGTGGGTGCGTGTGAGTGTGAATGAATGTGTGTGTGTGAGTGGGTGTGTGTGAGTGGGTTGTAAGTCCACTGCAGCTAAAACAATTATTGGACCTCATGCTGTTGGCATCAATCTGGTTCATGTCAGCCAAATGAGACAATGGCCATCACCACTAAGGTATCCTAGTTGCTGTGGCAACATTCACTTTTACATGCACATTGCAATCTGGAAATAGGAATGGTGATGGTGGAAGCTCTTACACTTTTTTTGGTCATATGGCTGACCAGGAATCTCTCCCACTCTTACTGCCTGCCAATGGTGTGCTGGAAGGATTGCAGAGTGACGCTGCACGTTTGGCCCTATTATGAATGCACTTCTCCTGACCATTCAAGTCATGGATTGAGGCTTGAATCCAGAGATTCTGGCTCAAAGTCAGGAACACTACCCATTGCATCAGAAAACCTCCTTATGCACCATCAAGTAGCTGAAACTAATGATGATGTATCATTTAAGTAATGATACAGAACAACTTGCTTCCCCAAAGTGGACTGTATTCCACTTGTCCTGAGATTGGTTTAAAATCTTATTTTGCCATTAGATTATTAAGGTTGTTTGAGAGTCAAAATAAAAGGGATAGTGTTGGTTATGAACAACATCTTCCTATTCCAGCTATTTATTAAGTAGACTTTTATGAATAAACAAAATTGAAACATCCTTGGCTTGCACCAGTGTCTTGCAAGAGGATAATTCCAAATACAATTTAAAGAACAATAAGGTTGTTGACCTCAAATAATTATGTGACATAGAAAATTTAATGTATATTTCATGAATATAAGACATATGGAAGGAAAGCTTCTTATGTTTCCTCTTTTCTAGCTAATATTGTTATAATTTCACACAGATAGCTGATTCAATGCAAACTCTTTATTTTGATATAAATGTAGTAGTGTGATCTGAAAGAATTAAAGCTTGATGATGCACAAAATAACTACTGACACAAAGGGAATTATTTGAACACCAAGTTTAGTGAATAATGGACTGTTCACAAGCATAATCTTGAATCAATGGCAGAGGAAAACAAACTGTGGAAGTGTTTCCCTGTAAAACCTAAAATACACATCAAATTTGAACTAGCTTAAATGGAATGTTACATACATTTCATTTAACAAAAAGAGCTCTGAGTGGCTAGCTGACCTTCTAGTATATGTAAATGCTACAAAAATGTGAGTATAGTTTAATCAATAAACTAGAGACACTAATAACAAGTTTGGAATCTTTAAAAATCATTTTACAAAATGGTTGACCTGAAAAGAAAACAATGCAGTGATTTGATTTTTGATGAATTCTGTGAATCAATCCAATCTGTGCTGAATTTCCTCATCCCAATCTGATTTATTTTAATTCCTGCTGTTTAAGAATAATAGCACATTGTGTTTATTCGTGCCCTAGTAACTTTAGAGCAATACATTTATTCTACTTAGTTGCAATTAAGTGGAATTTTTTTCACTGAAAATGATCACAATTATGACACTCAGAGAAATTTTCCTTTAAGAAAATTCAGCTACTGTAAAAGTGTCCACCACAGTGCACTGCATTGTAATAAATATTCAACATAAATTAATAATTTACACGTACCTGAGCAAGTACACAGCACCATAAGGAGCCACAGCACCAAAAACAGGAGCTCAGAATCCCTTTATCTATCAGTTCTGTAATAGTACACAAAATATGTTAAGCACCAACTAATTTTATCACAACCTTTAGTGGTGTGAGCTTACCTCTTATTTACAGTATAAGAATGCATTTCAAACAATTGATCAATCACTATTAACATATTTAGCACTTCTGTTAAATTAAAATGCCTAATCATGTGGTTTCTTAAGTCATACAAAATTTGATTGATTTTACAAGTGCCGTGTATGGCCCTCTGTCATACAACCCATAAAATGAGTGGATCTGATGGCATAGTACACAAGGGCATTGTGTCCATGTGATCTCTTGCTTATACATTGAAGGCACTGATATATTTTGGTGTGTTTACTGTCTAAATACATTGCTTTGATGGCATATTTGTTTAAAAAATGGAATAAAATGCATCTTTAGTGTGGAAGCAGATGGTACACCATAAAAACCCAGTGATGTGGTACAATGAAGCCACTATGGCATGTTGCTAAGATTCTTTGTGGTAACATGAGATATTAATGATAGGAGAGTGACAGGACCACTTCCTTCGTATAAAAGACTGAAGTACCAGCATCTCTCAACTATATGCATATAAAGTTTATTTCTTGTCTAGTTGGGATTAAAGGAATAGCTTGGTAGACACCAGTACCTTGCTATTCATTGCTCATGCCAGTCAAGAAATGCTAGCACAGAAATGGATACAAAGAAGAACAGTTCCTATTTGCAATGCTGGTTAATAAGAGGACTAACTCCATTTAGAATTCTCATATAGTGCAAACATGTTTGGTCAGTTGCTGGCAGGTAAATTCTTTTTGTCATTCGATGTCAACATCGTCGGTTAATCTTATTGTGCTGCTGAGGCTTCTTGGGTGCTGGTCTGAAATAAAGAAGATGATAACAAATTAAGTTAGAGCTAATCACAGTTTCTTCATGAATCTGTTTAATCCTCAAGCTTTGTTCAGTAGACTTCATTTATACTTGATAAACATTATTCTTTCCGCTATTTTAATATAACCTTTAATCTAGCATAAATGGGCTGGTTATGCCAACAAAACAGTAGCTTGCATTTACAAAGTGCTTTTCACATCATTAGATGTTATAATGCAATGCACAAGAATAGAATCAGACACTGAGGCAACAAAAATGATATTCAAGTAACCTGGTTAAAGGTGTAGGTTCTAATAAATAGCATCTTGGAAGAAGAGAATTCTGTAGATAGGTTTATTGAAGGAATTCCAGAAAACTAGGCCTGGATGGCTAAAGGCACAACCACTGAAGGTGGTTGAAAAAAAAATGGGGAATGTTCAAATGGCCAAAGTTCCAAGAATTTTGAGTGCCCCAGAGGGTTGTAGGGTTGGGGCAGGTTACGGGGATATAGAGGATGCAGTGATGAAGTGAACACAAGATGAAAATTTAAAGTCACTGGGCTTGATCTGTCCAACAACAGTTGAGATCTCCTAAATATGCAAGCAACAACAATTTACAGTCAGGTGTGATTGGTCATGGGATTCCTCAACAGTGACTTCAGAATCCATGATGTCTCATGGTTTCAGGTTAAACACAGACATAGAGACCATGAGACAATACAACCATCATCTTCCCATAACTGGTGAAGCTTTATTCCCTCATACTGAACATCATTTAGAGGGAATATTGACAGTTGTATAAACACAGAATGCACTTTGGGTGGGAGTAGCTCAGTATGGCCCACAAAGTGCTGTTGGCCATCAGCAGGTACCGCGCGGAATCACATTTAGCTGTGTTTCATTTGGGAGTAATCTAGTTTATGAGTCAAAAGATTCTGGATTCAGATACAACTCCAGGGATGTGAACTCAAAAATCTAGCAACGCTGAGGGAGTCATTGTCAAGGATGCTGTTAGTTGGATGGGATATCGAAACAAGGCCTATATAATTTTTCAGGTAAATTCAATGATTGAAGATGAGCAGGAGAATCGTATCTGATTTCTTGACCAAGAAACATTCTTGGGCGAACATCACAAGACAGAACATCCCATCACTGTCACATTGCTGTGTTCAAATTGGTCGCCACATTTGCTATATTTCAAAAATATTTCCAAAGAGCTTTAAGGCTGATGAATGCTCTGAGATTGTGAAGGGTGCTATATAGATGCTGGTCTTTTTTTATCTGCAAAAATTTGATTGTATTGTCCAACACACCCCTCTCTGCTCCATCGCAATCATACCAGGTGACCAGCCTTAATTCTTTGAGAAGTGTGAAGAACATATCAAGAACATATCCTTTGGTCTAAACAGTATATTGAAACTTCAAGACTCTTCCTTGCTTACCAGTTGCTTCCAAACCTTCCTACACAAGTAATTTATATCCCCAAAGGGGCTAACTGCAGTGTTACAGATTCACTAATTCCATTACTTAGCTATGGAAGGACAAACTTTTATCGGTTGTTTTTACACACTAACACTTTATCATTACTTTAGGTCTGTTTAGCAGCTTCTCAATGTGCAAGTTTTCATTTCCTACACTTTCAAGCAGACAGGATGAACATCACATTCTCCATAATTACAGAGCCCAGCCTTTCAGTGCAGAAGATAAGGTTAAAGTGTTTACAACCACATTCAGTGAAAACTGCTGATTGAGTTAGGTTTCTCCTGAGGTGGCCAACATCTTCAACCAATACAATTAAATCCATGTGACATCAACAAACAGCTAACTCTGTTGTATGCAGAAAAAGCCAAGGGGAACCTACAACACCTTGGTAGCAGTGTTGAAGACTTACAATTCTGGGTACAAAAAGTGGAACAAATCTGAATTGGGCAAAAAATTTCCTATCAATTTTTACCAAGCCATTAACAAAGTGGCACAGCCCACCGAATAACTACTCCATGAATCCATAGCTTGGATTTTGCTAGGACTACTCATCTCTTGGCCTCGTTACTACCTCAATCCAAACATGGACATGAACCGCAATCCAAAGTGAAAGTCCTTGACATCAAGGCAGCATTTGATTAAGTGTGGCACCATGGAGACCCAGTAAAACTGAAATCAATGATAATGACAGGAGTACAGTGAAGTGCGTACAATGTCACCAACACATGGCGCAATCTTAGGTACAAAGTGCCTAGGTAGAAATCTTGGGTACAAAAAATAGAGAAATAAGAAAAACTGAAGTCAATGGTAATGTGTCATTGATAAACACATTTTTTGATTGAGTCATGTTTATGGTTTTTGAAGGCTGATCATCTCAGACCAAGAAAATTGCTGAAGGAATTCCACAGCACAGTATTCTTGGTGAATTTATCTTTAGCTATTTCTCTCTATTAGACTTTATTCTCCATTTAAAGATTTGAATTAGGGCTGTTCATTGATAATTGTTTGCACATTCAGAATGCCTTAGGTAATGAAGACATATATGCTTGTATGCAGCAAGATCTGGGGATCATTGAGGCTTAGACTAATAAATGACAAATAATATTTATGCCACGTAACTCTAGACAATGATCATCTCATACAAGAGAGCCCCTAACCACTGTCTCCTGACATTCAATTGCATTACCACTGTCTTGACCCCACCAATGGAATTTTGAGGGCTATTATTGACCAGAAATTTAACTGGATCAGTTAACTGGATTAACTGGATGTAATACTGGATGCAAGACAGCCCACAGCAGGAGTAGGTGCAGAGGAGATTCCCCAGAATGTTGCCTAGGTTGGGGCATTTCAGTTACGAAGTGATACTGGATAGGTTGGGATTATTTTCCTTAGAGCAGAAAAGGCTGAGGGGGACCCTGGTTGAGGATTATGAAGAATATAAATAGGTTAGATAGGTAGAAATTTTCCCCCTTAGTTGAAGGATCAATAACCTAGGGGGTGGGGTTGTCACAGATTTAAAGTATAGGGCAGAAGGTTTAGAGGGGATTTAAGGAAGACTTCTTTCGTCCAGAGGGTGGTGAGTATCTGGAACATGCTACTCAAAAGGGTGGTAGAGGTCAGCCCCTTCATAACATTTAAGAAGTATTTAGACGATCATTTGAAGTGCCACAGCGTACATGGCTGTGGACCAACTGCTCGAAATGGGACTAGAATAAGTCAGTGCTTGACAACAAGGTGGGATTTATGGGCCAAACGGTCTCTTTCGCTACTATATGCTCGAAGTCATCAAAGCTTCTTCAATAGTATCTCCCAAACTAATAGCTTCCACCACCTTGAAAGATAACGGCAGCAGTCTGTTTCTATCCTCTGCTCCATACCTTTATAATTTTACACACCTCTATCAAATCACATCATTTACTAGAATCAGAGTACGTAATCTAAATTATTTAGCATTAATCTATTAAAACTAAACTGTTTCTAGCTATCTAATAGCATTTTCTATTTATTAGACTTGCCCTTGTATGGTTGGATTTTTAAATGTTTGAATGGCGGGCTTCTACAAGTGCAAGCTGGTAACAGAACATTGAAGGGCCTGAGTGAATAGAACAAGCAAATATGTACCTCCCTAACTAATCAAAATGAAGGTTTGTTAAAAAGAAAAGTGCAAAGACATAGAGTGTAAATTAGACTTGGTAATTTCCATATAAAATGAAGCATTGAAAGAGAAATAAGGAAGTAGATAAGGCTAGATTGAGCGAGCAGAAAGGAAAGAAAAAAGTCAATATTTTACATTATTTTTAATCTCTAGGAAAACAATTAATGCTTGAAAGAAACAAAATGTACACCTGTACTAGTGAAATCTTATTGCACGCAGGAACAGTAATGTCACACCATTTAAGGCAAGTCATCAGGGAGGCAGATAGCTTGGTATGGCTTTCACAAAATTAATAGCAAATGAGTACAACTTAGTGAGCAAATTCTAGATATTCATACAGCTGACCTGAACTGAAAATGCCACAGCATGTGTACCTAAATAACAGGGAGTGCCTTCAGCTTCACTGTTATTTTGAAAACAATATTTGGATCATTGGACAGCTCAGTCGATAAGACAATTTACAGAATATTTTAAGGAGGATTGCAAGGTATTGAGGTTTAGGGAGAGAGTTTTAGGCCTTCAGGTTTAGATATCTCAAAAGATGGACAAAAGTAGTGGGGCAAAGCAAAGTAGGGTATACAAAAAGCCCTAGTTTGGAAGAATGCAGATTTCATTGGGGTTGTTGTGCTGAGATGGAAAGGAAATAGGAAATTACCTCAATATTTTAGCTTTTTAACAACATGGATTCGAGTTGTTAACACTTTTTAATGAATGAAATAATATGTATTTATTGTTAACTTACTTTGAATACACAAGATATAACAAAGCTAATGAATGATAATGCGATATTCAAGATCTGTCTTCAGAATGCATGTTGTATTTTCAGATTTCAAATACAATTTTTCACATTTCTCTATTTTAAGATTAACAGCAAAAGGAGTACTCAATATAGCTTCAAACGCTCACATAGAATAGGCAGAATGGAAAATAATGTTTCTTTGAAATCTAAATTAATTAGTGTTTTCTGCTGCAGTATTCTTTTTGCCTTTTGTTTCTTTTGAACTATAATGCTCATTGAATCTTAACTAATCCTCATCTTCATTAAGTAGTCCTAATTCATCAATGAAATGCTTTGTTATCAAGCTTTAATTAAGTATAACCTTTTACGATACAGAAACAGGCCAGTGTTTCAGTGTGCTGTGCTCTTCAGCAGGAAGGCACAAGGTCATGTTACAATACAAATTTTTAATTTTGGTTGTGTCAGGTGGATGTCAAGTAGGGTCTACATGCTTCCTCACAGAGGATAATGCAAAATTGACAAGAAAGTCAATGTAATGATCATCCCAAGAAAGCTCAAAAGCAGGTATTTATGAGCCTCTTGACTGGACAAATGTTTTGAGATAGCAGGAGAACCAAGGTGGGAGGGATGAGAGAAAATAATTCTTTTGATGTGCATCACGCAGAGAAACCAGTCTTTGAAATGAACACTACAAACAAATTCTGATAAAATAAAAACAAGTAAATTAATCTACAATTCATATCTTTGTACATATGAATTTCATTAATGTCTGAGAGCTTCACCATTAGCTTTTATCAGATATTCAATTTTGGCTTCTGGTATGAGCCCATTCCCACCATACTTCACATTCACACCTATCATTAATTGTTTCAGTAAATATACAAGGATTTGAGGATTCCGAAGTCTTTCAGAATTTCATGAGCATGGTCTTAGCTTTCTGGAAGTACAGAAAATCTGTGCAATGCTTGTTAGCATAGTTAGGGAGCATGTATTCTTGCTTTTGACTATGAAATCTAAATCAGTTAGGCTGGTTTTTTAATGATTTCTTTCACTCACTGTCAAGTAAAAACTAAATTGTACAAAAAACTCACCTGACAGGCTTGATCTGGACCTCAGGGTGCTGTATGAAGGGAGCATTCAGTTGTGATGGCCTGTTTATAGGATTTGCTGGCAGAGGTTTCTTTGGAGGACTGCGCATTGAAGGACCCTGCAATGAACATGAACAACATAATGCCTGTTAATTGAGATTTCAGTAAATCAGACTGACCAGGTAGAGGAGCAAATAAATACCCACATTGTTCATAAATATACGATTATATATATGCTACAATTTCTTGCTTTTCCTGACTGCTGTTGCATGAGAAGACACTGATGAAGTAATTGAAAGAGACACAAAATGATGGAAGAGGTTTCAGAAAGAAGGAGCTTCAATGCCATAGAGGATTTTAAAATGAAAATTAAATTTTAAAATTTAAGCATTGGTCAATTGGAAGCAGAAGTGAATGCTGGGTGATGGGTGCAGAGATGTGGTGCAAGTAATAACATGGGCAGCAGGATGGTGGATGAGCTCAGGTTTATGCAACACGGGAGGCAGTGCAGGACAGCATTAGAGTAAACAGGCCTGGAGTAACATAAAGGAGGGTTTCAGCAGCAGATTGATTAAAGAAGGAGAGAAGGCAGGTGGTAGTACAGCGGTGGAAGTAGATGCATTTCAATGAAAGGATGTGGGGTCGGACTCAGTTCAGGGTCAAACAGGACACTGAGATTACAAATAATTTGATCCAGTTTGACAAAGAGGCCAGCACGGGGTTGCATTGGTGGTTAAACAGAGTTTATGGTTCAATTACATTGTATGCTTTGCGAAAATGCTTAACTCAATTAATAGAGCAATATTTATATTACTTCAAACATGCCAAATGAATTTATTAGCTGCAGTATTGTAGAGAGTTAGAGCTTTTAAAACTTTGACGTATATCTGATTTTCTGTTTTTGAGTTATTTTGTTTGCCAAAAGGTGACAGTTCCAGATATATTATGGTCTTGGAATCAGATGTGGTTAACTGCCATTAATACAAATTGAGTCTTCTGCTGACTAATGACTATAATTGGGAGTGTAAATTGTACGTGCAATCTGTAAAATGTTCTATTTGCTGTTCATTTACAAAGTGGCAACATACTTAATAACAATAATTGCTTCATTCATTATGGTAAATAATAACCTTTTACAACTTTGGTTTAACAGGAAGAGATTTAACATATTAAGTCAGACAAAAAGAAAAATAGTAATTGCACATAAAAGACCACAAGCCATTTCCTTCCCCTTTCTCCACATGTAGTGGAATAAAATCCAATGTTATTTTCTAATAATATCAACTGTAATAAAAGTAAATATTAACAGGTCTATCAAACTCTGACAAAAGAGAAAAGATAAGTCATTATTTCATGGGTGAGTAAATGTTAACTAGGCATCTTTTCTCTTTTCATACGCTGACTACTATCCAGCAGGTTCTTTTTTTTTCAGATTTTAAGCATTTTCAGTTTTTCTTTCTTTTGAAAAGACCAAAATCATCTTGGATCTTTAGAAATATTCATAATTAATTGTATAGGTGGAAGTTCAAATGGAGACCCAAACATTAGGAATCAAAAGGCTGATGTTGCTATGGTAATATGGCATACAAGATTTTTTAATGATACTTCTGTGTAGAAGGCAATGGAATAATGCAGTTAGATGAAATTGTGCAATCATGTCACTCACTGATGCTACAAGTGCATTCTTAACATCATACATCATGCCAATACTGCATGGTAAAATTTATATATGATTTCACAATGATTATACAATTAGTGAACAAAGTAGCCTTCCAATGAGGCATGGTAGAAGAGTGCTTATGTTGGTGGACTACAGGCCTGGACTAATGATCTAGAGACATAAGCTGAACATTACTAGGGGTCATGAGCCTGCACTTGCTGGCACTGGGAGGAACATAGTGAATTTTCTACAGACAGCCTCCTGGGTGGCTGCCTCAGGGCCATCATTCAATGAAAGATGGAAAGTGGGGTTTGATGCTGCTGCTGAAGCCTTAGCAGCGCCACTAGCACAGAGAGGAGACTACTGAAGCAGGAAAGAAACTCTGGGGCCCACCAGATAAATTAAAAATTAAAGATTCAGGGGCCAAGAATGAGAGGAGAAACCCTTCAGGGGTGGGGAAATGGTCGGGCAGGGGGCAAGGAAGGCAGGTTCTTCGTCCCCCACCTTGGAGCATGGAGCCGCAGGTTCACATGATGCTGGCAGCAACTCACATGGTGGAGGGTTGCTCCAGCACTGGCAAAAGGCCAGGAACTGAGTAAAATAGTCCTTGAAGCAATACTTGCAATCTGCCACTGGGGAAATCCCCACCATCGGTGGCACTGCATTGGGAAGATGTCAACAAGGAGATCTCAGTAATATTAACCATAAAATTAGCAGATTTTTGTAAAAACAAATCTGATTTATAGATATCCTTTAAGGAAAGAGAATTACTGTCCTTACCCTTACCTATATGTGGCTCCAGATACACACAAATGTGATGGTCCAGCGCAAATAATTCAGATGTATTTGAGAAAGCAGCTCACTATCACCTTCTGAAGGTCAGTGAGGAATGAGCAATGCCTACATCCCATGAATTTATTAAGAAAAATCACAACTACTGTTGCTCAGGCATGCTTGTTGCTTTATGTTGCGCGAGCGATGCCTTTTCACATCTGAGTGTTTTTCAGCCTCCCTAAAATTGGTTTAGCGAATGCTGACAATTTTGTTTTCAGGTGTCACACGTCTGTATGAGATAAGCAGAGGTCAGAAATAGCTTTAGAAACTGTTAAGATCATCAGAGAGAGGAGCAGAATTTCAAGTTTCTTATTCCAAGCTGGTCATTGAACAAAAAATATTTCAGCAGCCTTTTCTCTTGCACTATCTTCCTTCTGTTTGTCACTCAAGACATTCTTGAAAACAGAGTAATTTGTTTTCTTCAAGCCATTTGTTTCAACTTCTCTCAAACACAACCACAGCTCAAAGATTGCAACAAAAACATTATGTAAAATGTTGAGCTGTCATTTTAAAGCAAAATGTGCACACCAGCCATAGAATATTCACATAACCTTTCTAAAATAAAGGTGATAAGAGCTGAAGATCTTTGGTGGGGCCGGTTAAGAATTTTCTTGAAGTTTCTCCTGTTCCATCACTACAATCTTGGCTCAGCTTGAACAGAAAATCTGGATGCTGTGAGTTACTATTGTTATCTCTACTTGGGCTGTTATGTCTATATGACTGGAAACAAGGTCTAGGAAATATGGCTTATGAATATTTATTTGCAAGATAACTTCATGACAAACAATAAGGAATGCATGACTTGTTTAGCAGTAATTAAATATTTAATCAACAGAACTGATTCATTTCCACAAAATAAATTGAAGTAACCTTTGTTGAACAATGATATAGTGAGCAACTAGAACAATAAGATGAATTGTATCTTTCCATATTTAAGACTGTTTTGCATAAACATTGATAGTCTGAATCATCACAATTTACTGTGAGAATGCTCAAAATCACTAGCAAATGTTGCTGAAACATCAGAGAAATAGCTCTTCTCAAATAATAGACTTGAATATTTCAGCATGTAGACTCAGTTTAAACCTCTGCAGTACACAGAATATTTGCATACCTGTGGATTTCTGAAGGAGGGGTTGGCTGGCAATGGTCTGCTTGGTACTCCTGAATTAGACGCCATACTGTGGTTCAGTGGGGGCAGGACCCGCTGAGGTGTCAGGGAAAAGTGCAAATTTGCTCTTGCAACTGAATTCGGCAATGGATTACTAATGTGAACTGGCTGATAGCGAGGTGGTCCTCGCACAGCTTGATCTCGCACATTATGGGGTGGAAATGAGCTGGTTGACTGCAGATTGTCTGTCTGCTGAAATAAATACACAACAAAAATTAACTGTAATAAAACGTTTGCTAAGAATATGTTAGTTAGCTATGATGTACACTGCTCCTGAGGCCTTATTTATCATGTTAAACTTTGCATTTAAAAACATTAATTAGCTATTGAACAAATCATTAATAGAAGATAAAAGAAAGACATGCATTTACCACTGGATATCCCAAAGTGTTTTCCAGTCATTGTGGAATACTTTTTGAAAGGGAGTCACTGTTGCTATGTAGGAAACACAGCAGCCGATATGCACACAGCATATTTTCCAAAAACCGCAATGCGGTAATGACTAAATAATAAAATATTGGCCTGGACACTGGGGATAACATGGCTGCTTTTCCTCAAATCTTGCCATAGAATCTGTTACACTTATGCAATTTATTTGGAGCCCTATATTAATATCTCACCTGAAAGACGGTGCTGTATCTGGGAACCTACAAGTCCTTTCTCTAGCCTATGCCTCCACTAGTCTGGTTTCCTCCTCATTAGAAATCTACCCCAGCCATTTCTAGCACCAATTGCAGCTATAATGCACCTTCCCATTAGGAGATCTAGTCAAGCTAGAATTGGTGTTAGTCTTGCAGAAACTTAGACTTCCTGTTGGGTTTGTAACCACTTACCAGGCAACACAGGATTGGGCTGTACACCTTAATCGTGGAGATAATCAAGCAACTAAATGATTCTCTGCTATTTATATCATTTCCATCCAGAGAGGGGTGATAGCACATCACATTCTCGCATCAGCTAATGGACCTGATCAGAAGGTTCGCTCAATAGATTTTTCTAATGACATACCTTGTGAATTTTGGCTTGTCTTTTGATGGGAGTTGTGTATGTACTACTAGATTGGCTTGGGGTTGATGATCTAGTCGGACCTACAGTCCTGTAGATAGGAACGGCAAAGATCTCAGTACAATTAATCTGCGCAAACTTAATATAATCAATTATGATTACAGTATTTGAAATCAACGATAACATAGACATGACAATCATAGCAGGATTCTTGGTCCATTTTCCTCCTACTTGCCCTGGGAAAATAATATCCAGTTTAACATCTCCATAGCTAGGTGGTCAAGATAAAGGCAGTTTTATTTTACAAATTGATCACTTTTTGATTGTCTCTTTACTATATTGTGCAGTCTACTAACTTAAAAACCACTGAGAAGTTAAACTTGACTTACTGTCACCAGAATTACAAGCTTGGAAACAGGCCACTTATTTTTATTTTCCTCTTGTTAGGATGCAATTGTATTTTGAAGGATTGGGGCAAGTAGTTTACTAGTATTTATAAGGGGAGTAAAAGTTTGAAGTAGTTCATTGACTTGCTTGAGTTGAAAATGAAGAATGAAAAATGAAAGGAGATCATACAGTAGGTTGGTGCTCTGTCTTTCCATATCAGGTGTCTAGCTTCAAATTGAGCCCAAATTTGATCTGAAAGATCTCAGAGTATTTCATTACTCAGAGAATACGCATGAAAAGATCCACTCTATAGACAAAGGGAAATTTCTCAATTTTTTACAGTTTTGATATCAATAACATCTAGAACTTCGGTCATGCCAATTAAATCAAAGTGTCAGAATGCACAGGCAGAAGATGTTTATAGAATAAAAATATACAAATGAAACCAAAATATGTTTTAACTACTTTAAAAGTTTATCTCTGAAATATTTTGCAATATTCTTGTAATAGGAGAGCACAAATTCATCAACTATTATTTACCAGCTAGCATTGCTCAGCAGCTTTTCCAATGCAGCACGATAGTAATCTTCAATTGCTTTGCTCATTGATAGTAAAATTTTTGCACTACATTTTTAATCACAAATAAATTTAAATGGATAAGTTAAACATTCCATGAATGAGTCAAATGAATTTTCTTCATATTGCTTCTAGTGCAACAAAATCCTTTTCCAAAAAAGAGTCCCACAGCATTTCAGATATTACCTCATCAAAACTTTTTAGAGCTGCACTGCCTACTTTTATATTCTATTCCTCTTGCAATAAACACTGATATTCTTTTTGCATTCTTAATCACTTGTTATGTCTGCAAATTAGTGATTTGTTATTTATGCATTGTTAATGAGAACACAGTTTTTGATAAAGATGTATACCATGTTATAGTCATTTGGGAAGTAAAGGTAAAATAGATACGTGATTTCACTTCTATGAAGGAATTTTTAGAAATAGGTCAAAGTTCATTTGAAACTGGATTCAACACATCAATTTGGCATCTAACAGGATGACTATGAAGTTAATTGATGAAGTATTTACAAAATATACTTTTATGACATACAGAAAAAACAGACTAGGGATGTTTCAGTACAGAATTAGGTTTCAGTTCAGAAGAATTAGATTTTCAGTACAGAATAACAGTTTCACTGTTGCAGATGGCCAGGTTAGTAAGTAAAATGCCTGAGTTGTGATAGTTTGTGTAGCAGTTTTTAAGTTGTTCAAACTGAAAAGAGGTTTAGCCCATCAAAACTGGAAATTCAGTTAAATACGAAATTAAAAAAAAATGAAGGTCTGCTGTGTTGTTCATGTTAAGATCTTCTTAAACTGTCTTATTTATTTCAACATATCGTTCTTCTTTTTCTTTTGTGTTCTTTTTTTAAAGACCCATTGGCAACCTCATGCTCTTGGACTAACTATCATGGTAACCAACTGCAAAAATTAAACTGACAATCTATCAAACCAAGTTTCATTCTACAATCTGACTTGTCCGGTATTACCGTTAGTAAAAACTGGTGGAAATACTTTTTGAAAGACTTTACCTTAACTTTTCAACTGTTGTTATTTTATGTGAGAACAGCAGCTGGAGCAATGTCTTCCGTTTGAAACACATTATCACCCCCGCAGTGATAAGACTCAAGACTGTAACTAGTATGCCCACAAACAGGCTATTACTTTCTGTAAAAAAGATTAGTAAATACAGATTCAATTTTGCCAGCAACATTGCCTTCAAAATAATTTCTACCTAATCACATAAAGGTTTAATCAACTAATGAATTTAGTTAATTGCTTCATTGATTATGTATTCCACCAATTTCTCAAGTTTTGATTCATGAATTTCCTCAAGGATTCTTTCAATTGACTGCTGTAACTGGAACATCCCCATAAATGTGGTTTCTTCTAATGTCACAGTGGCTCTTCGGTAACCTATCTTCACGCCCAATCAAATTTTCAGAGACCACATTCGATGCATATTTCAAGTAAAACATTTGTATTTTAGTAATAGATTAAAAAAAAAATCATAGCGAGCTCATGCTAAAAATGGTTTAAGCTATAAATGTTCATTTTATGCTGCATTGCTAGTTCCCCATACAAGAAGGGAGCTTACATGTTAACATTATGATTCTGTTAGCACAGTTAAATATATGAAATAGGTGTTTATTTCTAATATTACATTTTATATAATATTCATTGGCTAGTTTCTAAGATTATGTTTTATTATATTCAAGAAAAATGCTGGTGTACTTGTGTAGAAGAATCCAATATCAGATTGTGTCGACATGAATGTAATCCATTGCTATTGTGGGAATATACAGCCATTCCTCACCTTCAAGCCTCATGGGTCCACTGTCTATGCTCCCTCCTAACCCAGGTTTGTCACAATATGGAGGAGCCCAATCATGGTCACAGTGGCAGTTTTTATTGTTGTTGCAAACCTATTAATGCATAAAATTACTCGTAAGCAATTGTTAAAAGTTCAAGTGAAGAAAAAGCTTTATTTTTCTACTTTACTTATCAATTTAAGTGCAATACACATGAAGCTAGCCACCTTCATAAGTGATGCACCAAATGTTTCAGATTTTACATTTAGAACTAATAACTACACTTTGTCCAGATAGATCGATTGGTACATGTATTATATGGCATGGCAGTCTGCAATATATCAGGAAAGATCCTCCATCCAGCTGTTGGCCAGCTGTTCTCAATTGGAAGCGGCAATTTATATCTCTAACTAGGGAGTCAAAAAACCATCCAGAGTGCTTGTTCCTGAATGTCATGGGTGGAAAGGCAAGTTGTGAGCAGGATACAAACAGTTTATACAGAAATATTGATAAGTTAAGTAAGTGGGCAAAAAAAGTTGCCAAGTGGAGGATAATGTGGAAAAATATAAAGTTGTTCATTTTGGTAGGGAGAACAGGGTTATTATTTAATGGAGAAAAACTGCAGAAAGCTGCAACACAAAAAGACTTGGGGGCACTTGTGCATGAAACACAGAAAGCTAGAGCACAGGCACAGCAGGTAATCAGGAAGACTAATGGAATGCTGGCCCTTATTTCTAGGGGGTTACGGCATTAGAATAGGGAAGCCTTACTACAACTGTACAAGGTACTGGTGAGACCACATCTAGGGTACTGTGAGCAGTTTTGGTCCCTTTACTTAAAGAAAGATATAATTTCATTGGAGGCATTTCAGAGAAGGTTGACTAGGATGATCCTCCATTTGGAGGGAGTGTCTTACCAGCAGAAGCTAAATAGGTTAGGACTCTACTCACTGCAGTTTAGAAGAATGAGAGGTGATCTCATTGAAACATACAGGATTCTTAAGGGTTTTGACAGGGTAAATTTTGAGAGGATGTTTCCCCTTAATGGGAGAATCTAGGGCCAGATGAATTAGTCTCAGAATAAAGAGGTGCCAATTTGAGACTGAGATGAGGAATTTCTTCTCTGAGAGGGTTGTAAGTCTTTGGAACTCCATGCCACAGGCAGCTGTAGGAGCAGAGTCCTTGCGTATTTTTAAGACGAGGATGGTTAGATTCTTGATCAATATGGGAATCAAGACTTAGGTGAAAAACGCAGGAAAGTGGACACGAGGAACCAGCCATGATCCAACTAAATGGCAGAGCAGCCTCGAGGGGCTGAATTGTTTAATCCTGTTCCTAAATCTTATGATTTCTTTACGGTCTTTTAGTGACTTTTGCTGGAACTGTTGTAGCTAGTACATGAAGCCAGGAGAAACCTTGTTATGCTGTTCAAATAGTCAATTGCCACTATTCCAGTTCACCAATGAAAACTTATCCCTAAGCCAAGGGGTCAAGGGGCAGGTAGGCATGATTAAGCACTTCCAAAGTGCAGAGGAGAGAAAGACAGATTGAAGCTAGATTAGGCACCTTTTCTCAAGGACAATTCAGAGTGGATGATAAATGCTGGCTTTAGCACTAATGTCTGCATCTTGTGAATTAAAAAAAAAATTGGATGTGAATACTGGTGACCGAATCATACATGATTAATCCAATATGGTTCTCATTAGCCTGATCAACAGCAGTATTGACATAGGGTGGATACATGCCATGTCTCTATTTTTTCAATCACATAAAGCAACATAAAGGCAATGCTGTAAGGAAAACAAATTGTAATTGGTAGAAGAGCAGCAAGTATGAGAACATATGGAAATTGAGTTTGAGAAAGTACCTTTAAGCCAGATTCACGCAGAACCAATGGGTTATTATTCTGTCATGAGCCTCCTTCCTCTGCCAACCATTGATTCCCTATTCCAGGAACACTAAAAGGTTTATTTTCCCATTTTGTGTTCCTGGTGGGTAGCCTTGGCTGCTGCAAATGTATATCCAAAATTCAACTGCACGTTGTGCATAATTTTCCAATCTCATTTAAAGTGGTTGAAAAATCATATACAGTGCCAGCACTGCTGCTGGGCAAAGTTGCCCATTGGGGGAACATAAATCTTTGAGCAAATAGATCAATGTTGAGACCACATGAACACTGAATATCCCTGTTTCCCTCTAACTGTAATCTTTAAAGGGTTGCAGAGTGTTAGTGTAAATCTTTTACATTGCACATTAATGAACATCAGAAAGATTTTTGAGATATAGATCACTTAATAAGTAAACATTTTCTGTCTTCAAAAATATCATTTTGTCAATCACTCAAATTTAAATTCAGAAAACTTAAAAATTCCTACATTGATGGAATTGCCTAAAGAAAACAAAACGTGCTTACTGGTTACCTGAATCTCAAATTTGTGGGATTCACAAAAATCTTGTTAAGGTAAAGAATAAACAGATTAACAAAATGTAGCAATACTTCAGAACTGAAGTCAATTGATGGCACAATTTAGTGATTAAAAACCTCATCTGCAATTAATTATTTGAACAAGGAAAACTGAGCTTTTTTGTGTTGCACATTAAGTAATAATAAGAAAAGGCTCTATGCAATTGCTTTTAATGTCTGGAAAGGATATTACACAGATAGTGAAATTGCTTCTGCAGTCTTGATTTGTTTTGTTATGAAAAGATTTTATTGAAATTGTTATACACAGTAATTTCACGTTTTCTTCTGAATGATAATCTTATTGGGAATGTTAATGGGTCTAATTTTTAACTTGCTGCTCAAGCATAGAATTGACTGAGTTGGACAACCATTGAGTGTAGAAATTTCAACTCAGTTCTAAGTGGTTAACCTGTCATTCTGAAACTGATGTGCTTGTTCTTGAGTCCCCAACCAGAATGAACAGCCTCTTGCATCTCTCCCATAAAATCTTTAAGTATATTATGTATTTCAATTAGACCAAATTGCAGTCTTCTGAATTCTAGAAGTATAGGCATAGTCCATGTTTTAATCTCTCCTTACAGGTGCAGAAATGTGGATGGTTATTACACTTAATGATTCATTAAAAGAGCTGATTAGCTTCTGTAATACAAATAAACACAACTTTTGAACAATGTACTTAGATGATATTGTGACTTACATTGAATGCTGTGTATCTGAATAACTCTTAGGATACACCAAAACCCTTGCAAATACCAAGCAGATTTACTACATTTAAAATATCTCATACATCCATTGTAAAAGCACATTAGTTCAATGGGACATTTAAAATAGGGTTGAATAAGGGTTCATTAATATGAAACATTATTAGCACGCTATCATGAGGAATGCATTTGTAGACAATGCTTATAATTATATGAATTCTCATTTATCAGGATCACATGACAAAACTGGTGGAACAAGAATTTTACATACAAAAACAGTGTTACTATTAAACGCACACACACACTCTCTTTCCCCCCCTCACACACATACACTCTGTCACCACCCCTCTTCTCACACACTCACACACACACACACACACACGTGAATCAATGGGGTGAATTTGTATTTGCAGATACATTTTATTTTGTTCAAAAAGCACACAATTGATAGACAGTCAGTCAATATGGCATTGTATAAATTCCTACTTTGGAAATAAAACCAGTCTGACTCCAAACTAGAACACAAACAGATTCTAAACAAGGTCTCACACCTAACATGCATTGTCTGACCTAAAATATCACCTCTTCTTTACACTGATAAAACCTTTAGTTCTCTCAAGACCATAACTTGAAAGGAATTTGGGGATTTACATATACATATTAATCAATTAAAATCTTCTAACTGATTAAAGATTTAACAGCATCCTAGGTTTGTTTAGTACATCCTCATCAATTGTGTGAATCTGTGATCTTTTACTTATAATTTGTGTCTGATACTACTTCTCTCACTAATACCTGAAGAAGGACTGGGGCTCTAAAAGCTTGTGTTTTCAAATAAACCTGTTGGATTATAACCTGGTATCGTGTGATTTCTGATCTTGTCCACCCCAGTCCAACACTGCACCTCCACCTCATATTAAATGGTAGGTTTCAAATTTCCAGCAATGCTAATAAAACTACTTTCTTTGGGTAGAAAATACAATGTTGCATTTTTATAAAGGTAAAGCCTCTTTAAAAAAAAACTATTAGAAGAAACTACTAAAACTGATTTAAAAGTTTTAAAACAAATTGATAGGGATGAGGAATACACTACTCACGATAAATGAACTGTGGGACTTATGTGTACCCTTTTGGAAGACATTGCAAACAGTGTAAGGGACAGCACACTTTGCCTTTTTGGATTATAAACTGGAAATTGGATGTGAACACTGCTATGTAGCTAAAGGTACAAAGTGAGCTTTTGCAACTTGAAGATCAAGTGAGATTATGTGGTGTACACTTTAGCTATAAAAATTACGTTACATTTTGGAGCAGTGAGGTGGATTCTTTGTGAGACAGAGTGGTACCAGGATTCTTTGAGTCAGGAAAAACTACTTAACATCAGCCTTTGGATTGGTCCAACTGCATTTTGATACAGACTTGTGAGTGCAATGCATTCTAGAGACTAACAAAAGCCTGTGAACAACAGCACCTCTCACCCATTTTAAAGATAAAATTTGAAGACTGAAAGAAAGAATTCTAATACAAGAAAAGACCCAGCTCCACCTGATTGGCTATTAAATCAAAGACTGATCATCAAAATGCAGACAACATTGTATCATCCCTACCAAGAATCAAAAGAACTGTGAGAAATAATAGAGGTATCCATACTTCATAGCCTCCTGTCCTATCAAACAGTCTCCACTCCCAATTTAGAGGCACCATGAAGGTAAACTATATTCCTGCCTTACTCACTCAACCTGGAAGTTAGTTCCATACATTTATAACTTTTATAAACAAGTTCCTTTTGATGTGTATTCTAGATGTCCTAGATTTAACCTTTTACTTATGACCTCTCAAAAAATCTGTTACTCTACTCCAACCTTTTGCAAACTTAAAACACTTCTGTCATCACTCTATTATTTGTGTTGTTTTCAGGAAACAGAGAAGGAAGTTTTTCAAATCTTGCTCCGTCCTTTATTTTCTTCCTATCAGACCCAGTTTCAGTGAATCAACATTGTACAATCTCTGTTTTTTTTTATCT